GTGCTCTGACCTAGAGACATTCCACTTCAAACTGCTCTGACCAGGAGGCAGTCAGACACCTGCTGTTGAGCTGGTGCTGGTCACTGGAGCTGCAGGTGGGACAGAAACCACGAGGAGTAACTTCTGAGTGCCATGAGATGTTTCAGGAGCCAGAGCTGAGAAGTTGTTGCTCTGAGTGGCCTGTCCAGTCTTGGATCAGCAAAAAAATTGCACTGTCAGGACCCCCCTCCCTCTTCCAAGGAAGGATGAGAAACAGGACAGGATGAGAAAGCTTGATAGGAAGGAAATCAGCAACTGGCTTTGCTGGGCAGTGAGAAAACAGCATTTGCAGTTCTGGCCAGGAGCAGCTCAGTCACCGCCAGGTCTGAGAGGCTCAGCAGCAGCTCTGCATATCCAGAGCCTGAAGAAGCTTCCACTTTTCAGAGCTTCCCCTACAACCAGAGCTTGCAAGTGAACAGCTTTGCCTTGTTTCACCTGGTGTTTGTTCCCAGGCAGTCCACCAGCCCTGCCGCTGCTTCAGACCAACGTTCTGCACATGAAACACTGCGTGAATCACGTCCCTGAGTTACGGCCTCCTGAAATCTGATAGGGGTGATTCCCAGAGCAAAACAAGGAAATGAGTCTCTTGACATCCCCAAGTCTTAGCCTGACCTATATTTCACAGGTCTTGATGCATTTTTCCACCTGTTTGTGCTACATGAACTCCGAAAGAACGAGGTGAGCTGGTCACACAAAGAACCAAATAACTGAAGGAAGCACCCACCAAAGCCTCGGACTGCAAGCGTGCTCCATGGCAGGACAGGCACTTTGGCACTTTCTGCCAATGTCTTTGAGGATTCCTGTCAGACAGAACTTGGATCTGCAGAGGGAACAGCTGAATTACACAGCCTGGACCTGGCCTAGGTCAGCCCACGCCCACCAGTGGACATTGGTTCGAGAAACAGGGAGGATTTCCTGCTGTACGAAGCCATTTCTGATGCTGGGGCGGGGGGCTGTTCATTCCCCCTCTTCCAGCAGAGAATTGGGCATGCACCCCTCCCTGCTCCCCATGGGAACTCTGACACTCGAGCTGTGGGTCAGGCAGACCAAAATAACCACAGTGATACCGGGCAGACAAGGGAAAGCAGCTGAAGTCTCAACTTGCAGTGCTAATTCAAGCAGCTGAGACCATGAGAAGGAAGGGCATGGTGGGGTACTCGTGTCATCAAGATTAACAGGCATTCATTTTCCTACTAGTTTCTTGTAACTAGCGAAACCCAGCACTCGGGAGATCACAAGATCCCGGCCCAGGACAGGAATCCCAATCTCCACAGGGGAATTACTGCAGATCCCCACATTAACCCCTGCAGGAAACCGCACCACAGGGAAGCTGCTCATTTAAGGTGTCAGGAGTTACAGAATCTAACATTTTTGCCCTGTGTTCACCCAGTAGCGAGGGCTGAAAGCTGAGGATATTTAGTAACCAAATCCTGAAGAATCTAGTTACCCAAAGGACTGCTGCCGCTCTCAGCTATGCAAGGAGCTGCTTCGCTCTGGATTTGTTGGCTCAGAACCAAAATACTCAAGACAAAAGCCCCAGTGAAGTATTTATCTTGTTAAATAGCTGACAGCGTTACATGAATTCCTTGGCAAAGGAAGCCCTGAAGTTATCCAGTGGTTTTGCTTCACCTCTCACTGCACAGGCAGCTGAGCTGCACTGCCCTGCTCCCAGGGCACTCGGCTGCAGGATGTGGAGTCAGGAGCAACTTCTGTGAGCAGAACCAGCAGCCAGTGTGGGTCCCACCAGAACCACACATGGACCCCGTTAGTCCAGGTTAGCACAGCACGGTGTGTCAGCCTGATATTCCAACTCATTGATGTAATTTATAACAACAAACTTCCAGAGCCTGACTGCAGGAGAGTCCAGGCTGCAGAGGAAGGAGGAACAGGCTCAGCTGCTACACAAGAGATGAATCAGGAGACACACTTGACCTACAGACCTCAGTCCCATAAAGTCTGATCAATATTAATACTTCACCTTTCTACAGGCAGCCTTCCCAAAGAACAAACCCCCAGTGTTCTGATCAGCAAGGCCATAGCCTGGAGTTCAGTAACTGCTCTAACTGGGGAACTCATCACTGCAGCTGCACTACAGCCCCGAAGTGCAGACTCACAGACCCAAATCAGCTCAGACAGCAGTTTCAGCAGCGCTTCTACAGTTGTGACTAACTTAGGACAGCACAACAACTTCTCTGTGCAGTCCCACATGCAAGACTCCTGAAGACATGGACACCATCATCTTATTTCACAGGTAAATGGGATTTCCATCCCAAAGTTAAATTGCCCATTGTTGGTAGCCGCAGCCCCGAACAAGTCTAGCTGTTCCTGCAGCACCAGCTCCTTCTCATGCTGTTGATACACACATCTGCTTCCTGACATCTGCACAGCCGTGGCCTCCTGGCTGTTTTTCAAAGCGTCTTTTCCAAAACAACTTTATCCTCAGAGATTTCAAGGCCACCACCCTGCTGTTACTACCCCTTCAGCACAGACTTCTGCAGGAGAGGCATCATCTTCCTCCTGTGCATCACTTTCACCTCACATTAGCTGCTCTCCTGCTGTAAGGAGCAAAGCCTCCACGTTCCCCGTCCCACAGCAGCTCCCTCTCGGAGCCCTCACCCACTTCCAGTCATCCTTGGCACTGCAAGGAGCTGGTCCACTTCCAGAGAACACAGGGCACAGCAAGGCTGGAGGAGCAACTCAGGGGTGCAGCCTGGACCTACTCAAACGGAACAAAAGCATCAGGGTTTCAATTCCACAGCCAAGGTCCTTTAACCCCTGTTCCTGACACTGTCCCCTGCTCAGATGCTCTCAGCAGACACCCAGCCAGACACCCAGCAACACGTGCCTTGGGCAGCACTCACCATCCTGCGGGAGAGAAGGCAACATCAGCAGTGCAAGGCAACAAACAGCCACCTGCACTGCAAAAGAATCCGTGACCTTCACAGTATCTTTCCCAGACGGCACAAAGATCTCCCAGCCTCAAGCAGCTCCTTATTTGGAGCTCTCCCAAACCAAAGCAAACACGAAAAGCAGTGTTTTCTTATCTGTTTACGTAGGACTGCTCCAGCAGCTCATTCCCGTGCTCCAGGGGAGGACAGTGTTCCCTCTGGGACCCAGAAGAAGCTTTATCCCTCCCCAGTGCTGTCACAGCCAGGAAAGCTCCCTGCTCCTGGCGGGAGCCTGGAGTGTTTTCGGTGTTACTCTGACGAACTTCTCAGGACTTGCATAAGAGGCTGCAAACTTCATACCCCAAGGGAAGAAAACAGCTGACTCCAACATTTCTACACTCTACCCTCTTTTGAGTCTGCTGACAGGAATACTTTGGGCTACACCCACTTCATTAGAAGTGTTCCCATTTCATTTCCTGTGTCTGAAAGCACTTGGCATTCCTTCCCCCTCCCCGTTCAGGGAGATGCCATGACCACCACCCGCTCACCAGGCAGCAGCTGAGGGACTCTGGAGCCAGAGCTGGCGACTGGCAGGGCCCAGAGCAGCCCCAGAGCTGATCCCTCTCCAGGTGCAGAAGAGCTTTGCTGGGATGGAGATAATCCCACACCTCATCACAACTGCCAGGTTTGGGCAAGCACACACACAGTCCTTTCAGATGCTGCCCAATCCTTCATTGGAAAGCAAATGGACCCAAACCCAACTCTGTTCGTGCAAAACTAGACCAGTGTTTAGTTTTATTTTATCATATTCACATCCACATGCCAAGCCAGCCTTCCCCTCATGCTCTCCAGTAACTCAAACCCTTCTCCAGGAGTCCATCTCAGCTTGCCTGGGTTGTTCTCTCACCTGAAGGGGCATCAGCACCTACTTAGAGAGCCTCGAGGGACTCACAGTGCCTGGCACAACCTCAAACCAACCTTCACCTAAATCAACCAGGGCATCTTAGAGGGGAAGGTCACTTCAGAAACAGGCTTTTGCTCTGAAGTTCCAGCACACTGTTGTGACTCAAGAGGAGTCTGAGGCAATTTCAGCACTGAGACCCAGTTCTGACTCCCAAGTGTTGCTGTCCTTGACCTCCCAGGTCCAGCCAGACTCCTGCTTTACCTGCTCTCCTCACTCCAAGAACACATCAAGAACAGCTGTCTAGAGGCACTATCCTGAATTCTTCACCCTTTTCAGCCACACTTCTTTCACCTTATTATCCTGGTGAGCTGAAATGAAATGTAAAAGACTTTTAGAGTCAAGGCAGGAGTGGATATTAACAGGATATTCCAAGGAAGCTCACAGAGACAGCGTGGCATGTCACAGCCAGCATGGACTGAGCCCGTCTTTTTGGCCCCAGCCAAGCTCAGAGCCAGCTCTGACAGAGTGCAGTGCAGGCCTGATGTCAGGCTGCAAACAGGGCAGCTCAACTGTGCTGACCCTCCACACAAAAAGCTAAGAATAGCAGACTGCAAGTTGTTCCACGCCAGACCTAAAATAGGCCCCGGGCAAATTCTCCTCCCCGGCTTCCTCAGGGGCTTGGGAACAGCCAAGGTCAGAGCTCCGGGGGCAGCACCCAAAGGTCAGCTGGGCTGGGGGTCAGGGCTGGGCTGGGCTTCCCTGCAGGGCCACAGCCCCACTCAGGGCTCCTGCCCAGCCCCAGGGAGCTCTGCCAGCGCCTTGGGCATCACCAGGAATAGCGTCTGAGCAGCTTTCCCGGGATTTAGCAGCACAGACCTGTTGCTGGCGCTCCCAGGTGCCCTCCTGCTGTGCTCCCAGCTCGCGTGCCGGAGCCTCTCCCGCCGCGATTCCGTGATCCAGGGGGTGGCCTTGGCCAGGGTTCCCTCTCTAGACAAGCCACAGAACGTCCTTGCAGCCCTTGTGCCTCGCTCAGGGCCCCGCAGCACCACACATTGGCTTCCACCAGGGCCGTGCTCGGCACAGCAGCGACCCAGGACAGTCCGCACTGCCCCGGAGCACAATCCCAGCAGACCAAGTCACACCCCTTACCCCAGCAGTTCCTGGGAACCATGGAAACTAGCTCACAGAGTCTCTATTTCCAACTCGGAGGCCGAACAGCTACAAGACGCGATCCCCCCACGACACTCCTGCCCCGGCAGGCACCGCACCTTCCCCTCTTCCCCGGAATTCCCAGTCCCGGCTGGGAGGCGCAGGGTACGGGCTGCAGGTGCCGCTCCCGCTGCCCCCTCCCCGAGCCTTCCACGCTCACGGCCGGCCTGACCGAGCCCACCCAGCGCTACCGGGAGCTCGCCCCGAGCCGGGGCCCGTCCCCCGGGCCGTGCTGCTCCCGGTGCCGCCCCCGCACACGGCTGTCCCGCGGCAGCGCCACTGCCCCGCCCCGCCCCGCAGGGCCCGGCTCGGCGGCACCGGGCGAGAGGGAGGATCGCGGCCGCCCGGAGCCCCCGCCCCGCCCCGGTGGCGCCCGCCCGGTCCGGCCCCGGCTCACGGGGAGCCTGACGGCATCGCCCCGCCCGGCACAGCGGCGCCGCCGGGCCCCGCTCCGCTCCCACCGGAGCCGGCCGCCGCCCCGGCCAGGCGAGATCCCGGGAGCGGCTCCGCCGCGTCAGGGCAGAACGAGCGGCCCGGCCCCGGCCCCGGCCCCGGCCCGGCCCCGGCCCGGCCGGCCCCGGCCCCGGCCCCGGCCCCGCTCACCGCCCGCAGCGCCGCTCCCGCCGCCGCCGGTGCGTCTCGCAGGCCCCGGCCCTCACTTCCGCCTTTACCCGTTCCGCTTCCGGATCCGCCCACCCCTTCCGCCCCCCGCCCCGCGCCCACAGGCGGCGGGAGCTGCCAATCATCGTGGCCCCGCCCCGCGGGGATCCCGCCTCCCGGCGGGCGCACCGCCCCTCACGTTAGACGGGCGTGACGTCATTGCGCGTCCGCGGGGGCTGCTGGGAGTTGTAGTCCGGCGTGTCCGGGGGCACCGGGAGCGGGGGGGACCCAGGGCGACCCCGGGCAGGGCAGAGACTCAAGCGGAGCCGGGGCTGGAAAAATAGAGCCTTTATTTCTCGATGTGGCGGGTGGAGGGCGCGGGAGGGGCGTGGCAGAACCACGGGAACTACAGCGGCGGAGGGGCGGCAGCGCCCGTGATCCCCGGAGACCCTCCCGGGGATCCCGAGGATCCACGGCTGATTTCAGCCCCCGGATCCCCCACGCTCCCCGTGTCCCCGCCGCCCTCCCCTCCCGGGCCCGGCCGGGCTGTGAGAAAGGCCCCGGTGGACGAAGAGTATAAAACCGTATCAAAATCCCTGCGAGTGTTCGGAGCGCGGCGTCCCGGGGCGCTCTGCGGGCGGGGGGGGACACACGGTCACCCCGGGCAGGGTCCCCCGGCGGGGTCACCCCGGTCCCGGCTCCCCCGGTGACCGCGGGGTCAGTGGGAGCTGGTGGAGCCGGACCGCGGCTCCGGGCGGGCGCGGGGCCAAGCCCTGGCCGAGCAGCCGGGGAAGGAGAGGGCGGAGCGGGGCGGCAGCGGCGGGGGCTGCGAGTCCGAGCCCCGGCGGGGGTCTTGGGGGTTCCCCCGCGGCGGGCGCGGCCCCTCGGCGCCCACCCAGGAGTGCTGCAGGGCGGCGGCGTGCGCAGAGAGGCTGCGGACCGGGCAGCGCTTGGCCCGGGGGCTGGCGGAGGGCGAGCTGCGGGAGCTGAGGGGCACCGGGGGCGAGGGGGGCACGGGAGGCGAGGACGGCACCGGGGCAGCGGGCGGCGGGGGCCGGGGGCGGCAGGGCGGCCGCGGGCAGGCGGCAGGAGCAGGCGGGGGCGGCGCGCGCCCAGGTGACCCCTGAGCAGCTCCATCATGCCCTGAAGCTCCCGGCTGAGCTGCGAGACCTCCCGGTTGAGGTGGCCGATCTGCAAGGGACGGAGAGCAGTGAGCACCGGGCGGTGTCCCCGGCGCCCCCGGGGACTCGCGCCCGCCCCTGGTCGCCGCCGCACCTCCTGGTTCAGCCTGCTGATGTTGTGCTTTATCTGCTCCGCCTCCATCGCCAGGGCTGGGCCGCCCACGTCGGTCCCTGTCGGGGGGGGACACGGCCACCGGTGAGCAGAGGGCTCCCCGAGCCCCCCGTCCCGGCGCCAGAGCCCTGGCATTGGCCGGCATTGCCGGCGGTACCTGAGGTGGGGGAGTCCCTCGTCGCGCTCGGCAGCGCCGGGTCCATGTTGAAGCAGAAGGTTTGTGGCTCTGATGTCCCCCCGTTGTCTTCAATCCCATCCACGACTCTAGAGTGGGAGGGGGTGAGAGCTTCCCCGCACCACCCCCTCGCCCCTCTGCCACCACCTCGCCCAGCCCCCCGGGACCCTCCGCAGCCCGGCGGGCACAAACCAGCAGCAGTGGGATGAGCCCCCAGCAGGTCCCAGCCGTACCTGGGGCTGAGGTCCGGGGGGCCGTTGGCGTGCAGGGACGGGATGAGGAGCTTGGCCGGCCTCCTGCCATCCCGCTCCGGGAGCCGGGCGTCCCGCCGGCACTGCGGAGAGGGGCTGCGGCCGCGGCTCCCGCGGGCCGGGGAGCGGCAGTTGCGCCGCAGGGCTGAGACCTGGCACAGCTCATCGCCCAGGAGGCTGCTCAGGGAGCCGCGGCGCGCCGGGCTGCTCAGCTGGGGCAGCAGCATCTTGCGGCGCGGGGGGCTGGCGGGCGACTGCTGGAAGACCTCGTCGAGTTCCTCCTCATCCTCCAGAATAGAGGGAAGGGGCTTCTCCGGGGCAGCACCGCTCTCCGGACGAGGCTGCGGTTGGGCAGGAGGTCAGGGCTGGTCCTGGGCACGGCCACCCCTGCCCCGTCCTTCCCCATCGCCCGGGCACGGTACAAACCTGCGGCACCTGCGGCAGCCGCGGGGACCGGGAGTAGCGGCAGAGCCCCTGTGGGGAGAGCAGACGGCACAGGCTCAGCAGCAGGAGGGACCCCTGCACGGCTGCACGGGGATGGGCTACAGGCCACAGCCCCCTCTGGCCTCTCCGTGCCCCCCTGGACAGCCAAACCTCCCCCAGCTGCATGCATCAGCCCCAGCACCAGCCTTTGCAGCCCCTTGCCGGTTCTCCTTCCTCTGCTGCTGCTGTGACAATGGTGAACTGCCTGAGCCAGAGCCAAGACTTCATCCCAAATCCCACCCCAGCCTCAGCCATCAGAGCACCAGCTCTGCCTGAGGGGTGAAGCCTGATGAGGAGGGTGACAGAGCTTCTGCAAGACCTGGTGCACACTCCTGGCATCCTCCACCCCTGATTTGTTTACACCTCTCCTGTGCAATGGACATGGTGGGTCTTGATACGGCTGTTTGAGACCTAGAAAGCAACTTCCCGCCCCACCTCCACCAGGCCTGAGGGCAGTGGCTACTGGGAGAGATGCTCTGGAGGAGCCCCCAGCCTCTCACAGCAGAGCTGGGGGAGGAAAAGTACTGCAGAGCCATTTCTGCTGCAGAACATCCTCCCAGCTACCGGAGCCATCAGCATGACTAAACCTGCAGCCCCCGGCTGTCTCCTGCACTCCGGGGGGCTGTGCTCCAGCTGCCTATCCTACAGTGCCCTCCCAGTTCCCTCCACCCCCATTTCCAAGCCTTCCATCGGCCTCAGCCTCCTGCATTGCCAATGCTCTTTCTGCCAATTCCCCAGGTTGCACAGAGCCAAGACAGGATGTACCTGCACACAGGGGTGGTAGAGCCACAGCCCCAACCTCGGCCTTGGAGCCTGGGGACTGTGAGCAGGGGGTGCAGAGACCACCCATTCCATGGCCATGCCACAGTCCCAGCCCTGCTCTGGTCCCCGGGGCCACAGGAAGGGGAAGGGGCCTGCGAGACAGGGCATGCACCCACCTCTGTCTCGCTGCCCTCCCGCAGGTTGAAGGTCAGGTCCTGGTGGATGTCGGCTGTGAACTTGCTGGCGTACTCAGGGTAGAGCTGCAGCACCTCGCAGAGCCCCCGCAGCCCGATGTGCTGCAGGTCGCAGTAGGTCAGCGCCTTCACGTCCGCGTTGGTCTTGATCACCTGGTCCGTGCTGCACAGGTCGGCACCGATCAAATCCCCTTTGCCTGCAGGAGGGGACCAGGGTGGGCTAGCAGCGTGAGCCCTGGGGCCCTCACCCTGCCGGGCAGCAGGAGGGGCTGGGGCAGAGCCCACGCCGCCTGCCCTCACCCAGGATGGCCAGGACCACGTTGTCCTTCAGCACCTCGAGGGAGCCGGAGCAGACGAAGTAGTTGGCCTGCAGCGCGTCACCCTGGCGCAGCAGGTACTCCCCCGGGGCGCAGAACGAGGTCTTGATGTGGAGCGAGAGGGAGCGGAGGCAGCCCCGGCTGGCTGTCTCGAAGATGGGCAGCTGCAGGATGTCCTTGTTGAGGTGCATGGCCACGTCCGCGCGCAGCTCGTCGGGGAAGTCGTGCAGCAGCTGAGGAGAGGAGCCGGGGCGCTGGGCAGAGCAGGCAGGGAGGGAGCAGGGAGAAGCCTTCCCGCAGCCCTGCAGCCTCAGGGGGCACGTGCCCCTCTGGATCAGGGAATCTCTCTGCTCAGCCACCCTGGTGCCTTGGCAGAACCCAGCAGTCCCAGCTGGCAGAGAAGGGCCTTGGATGTGGAAATGAGCTACTTCTGCTCCGTGTGCCTGTCCTGCTCCCTGTGCTGGCAGGTATCGGCCCCAGACCTGGTCCCTCCAGCGCCACACTCCCAGCTGGCCCTGCCAGCCCCATCACCCCTGTGCTGGGTGCAGGACTGGGCCAGAGGGGGCTGGCCCAGCCTCACCAACACCTCCTACCTCGTTAGCGTCGATGCCGTTGTTCACCGACCAGGTGGTCTGGAAGTACTCCAGCATCCTCTGCTTGAGCTGCTGGGGCAGGCGGTGGACGCGGATGAAGTCCTTGAGGTCCTTCATGCGGGTGTGGTAGAGCGAGCGGCGGGAGTACATGCGCTGGATGATGGCCGTGACGTTGCCGAAGACCACAGCGTGCATCAGCGCTGGGGGCAGCGGGGCAGCGTCAGGCCCAGTGAGGGGCAGCACAGGAGGCTGCTCCCCAAACCCCAGACCGGGGCTGTTTCACATGGCACACGTGTCCATCACCTCCCCCAGTGCCTTGCTTGGGACCCGTAGGTCCGACAGCTAGGGGTGAGCCCCCCGCCCAGCCCTGCTCCCCGCCTCACCCCCGATGAGCATGGTGCAGATGGAGAAGATCTTCTCGGCGTCGGTGTTGGCGCAGACGTTGCCGAAGCCCACGCTGGTCAGGCTGCTGAGGGTGAAGTAGAGGGAGGCGATGTAGGTGCTGCGGATGGAGGGGCCCCCCATGGAGTGGTTGAAGTAGGGAGCCTCCAGCCTCTTGCCCAGCTCGTGCAGCCAGCCTGCCAAGCACAGCCCGGGGTTAGCCCTCACCGAGGGGCCAGTGCCCCACTCTCCAGTGCTGCCCCAGCCTCGCTTTTTGGGCAGGAGCCAGTGGGGGCATCACCCCCGGCACCACTGCCCCACAGGAGTGCACAGGGGGGCCCCAGCGCCCCGAAGGTGCTCACCGATGTCCCAGGCGCGGGGGTCGTTGCTCTCCAGCTCCCTGCGGCCGATGACGTACCAGATGCAGGCCAGCCAGTGCGCCAGCAGCGCGAACATGGACATGAGCAGCGTGAGCACCATGGCGCTGTACTGCGAGTACCGGTCCAGCTTCTGCAGCAGCCGCAGCAGCCGCAGCAGCCGCACCGTCTTCAGCAGGTGAACCAGCGAGGTCTGGGGGGCAGGCAGGCAGGTAAACCCAGCAGAGCTTTGGGCAGGGGCAGAAAGGGACCCCAACACCTCTTCCCGGGGCAGGAATTCTTTTTCTTCCACCCCTGTGCCCAGCACCCAGCAGGCAGCCAGGGCCATGGCTTGTCAGGGCATCAATCCCCCCCGGGACACATGGGAGCTGGAGAAGGGCGGGGAGATGGGCAGTGGGAGGGGCAGCAGAGAGCAACAGCTTTGCTATCAGAGGCTGCATTTGTGCCAGCGGCACTCACCACGGTGACGTTGAAGATGTAGAGCAGATCGAAAGGCAGAGCAGCGATCAGATCCACGA